CTCCTCAGAGACTCTGGACATGGACATTGGAGACATGGACATTGGAGACATGGACATTGGAGACATGGACATTGGAGACATGGACAGTGGACTTGGACCACTCAGTCTGATGTGTCTCTCGTCTTCTGGAGGAGGAAGAGCAGAATGGGTGTTAGGTCTGATTGATTCAAAGTTCTGTCCTGCAGAGTGAAAACCTGTAATGACACACACATTAAGAAAACTACAACACTATTAGAGGAAAATAAGTTTGACAGAGCATGCAGCCCCAAAGAACACCTGGACTCCCCCCGCACTATTTACATTTATTATTATTTATTTATACGCAAGGGAGTGAGAAAAACAATTCTTTATATGTTTTTCGTATGAAGAATTGACAATAAACAATTTTAACGTTGAACTTAAACTTTGATGTACATTCAGATTCAAAGGCAGTTTATATCTGAAACAGCTAAATGAATAGAGGAATCCCACACATTTGAGAAATGCATATTTTCACAATTTAAAATCATAATTTCAACATGAGCATGATTCATTTGCAGCTCTTATTATTAGTAGAATTTTCAATGTAACATGCCCCATACCTAATCGTTGGCAGGAGTCTGGGTCAGCACCTCCAGCTCAGTGTTGGCTTTACTTTGTCATCTGCATTTGACCCATTTTATGAATCACAAGCATCTTGTCAGCCAACAGTTCTGTGGCCCCTGCAGTGTGCCGTGTCCTCATACTGGAGGCTGCAGATGAGAAAAGAAAATTCGTAATGTAAAACAGATTTCTCATTGTTATAACATTAGATGTGACAGACCTAACAGACACAGTCAGGTCGTATCTACACCAGGTCGTATCTACACCAGTGTCTGCACAAATCTGTTAAACGAGCCTCATGTCCATCATAAATCTGACCTGTCCAGGCAGGATTATTTACTCTTCACTTTACAAACATGCACGGATTGTTAAAAGCAGATAATGTTTCCCTGAATGAAATGCACACGTTGGAGGCTGATATTATGTGATTTACAAGTAAATATGAGCTTTGATAGAGTCAGACTGAGTCTTTTCAGTTGAATGTATGAAATAATGCGTGTTTTCATCTTAACTCCGAGCTACACTGACCAACTGTTTACATGTTTACACTGTCCGTGAAAACGTGGAGTTTTCTCCTCGTAGCTTCTTTAAATCACTCTGTGGGCTTCTTTTCCCCTAACAGTAAAAACATCATTAGTGTTTGATGGAAATGTGTCCAAATATGAAAGTTTGAGCGGATTTTTCATCGCATTAGCTGCACATCACTAGGCAAACTTTAGCTCAAAACTCCGCGGTTCACGCAGTTAAAAACAAACTTATTTGACAGTTTTGTGGGAGTTATGGTCGTACTTTACGTTTACAGTTGTGTTAGTAATGATTTCCTAAAGTTAAAAGTGTTACTCACATGTTTTTCTCCGCTCTCCGGACGGGCTTTTTGCTGCGTGTTTTCGCTCCGTGTTTTCGAACATCTGACTGCCGCCGCGCGGTGCATGCTGGGATACTGAAGGCTGCGAAGGATACTCGGATGTGTCCTCCGTTCGCGGCCCCATCTCCATGGAAACGAGGCCGGTTTTAGGGCTGCATATGAAGGCTGCATGACATAAAAATGAAATGGGACAGGCCTTGTTTCACCGGAAGTGACGTATGCGGCCTTCAAACCAGCCTTCGGAGGCTGCAGCCCTCGAATTGGGACACAGCCTGTGTCTCATTTTCGTGCATGCACTACTGACTGCAGACAGCAGGGGGCAAGTTTTTTTTTTTTTAATAAAGTGTCTATTAATACTAACAGTAATGGGGGTGCTCTACATGTCTCTCTATAGTAGAATGTTCAGCAGTTCCAGAGCTGAAATACTCTAAATCAGGCGTGTCAAACTCAAATTCACAGAGGCCAAAATTAAAAACTGGGACTAAGTCGTGGGCCAAACTAAATATTTATTGTAAAATTTCAACAACATCTGCATGTTTTCTCTTCTTTCGAGACACGTATTGTTAAACCTTTTCTTATTAAAATAAATGTTTAATAATAGTTTTGCTTAAACATTGAATCCAGAACAAGCAAAATATAAAATAATAACAAAATTTTAAATAAATAATGTATCTGTAGTCTATCTGTAACCGGGAGATCAGCTCTAATACATGTTTGATATGATCTCGTGGGCCAAATATAATTATATCGCGGGCCAAATTTAGCCCCTGGGTCTGAGTCTGCTCTAAATGATTCTAGTGAAAGTGTATGGAGTTTAAAAACACCATGGAGCACTTCCTGCATTACCGCCATAAACTGTATAAAAGAAGTGGACTAAGCAAGTATGACATCACCCATAGTGTTCAGTGTCGCTCAAAAGAGGCTCCAGGAGCGAATCTGGAGTTATGAATATTATTATTATATTTTACTCACGGCAGCAGTTACAGAGAGAGGGCAACGAGATCCAAATGTGAGTCAGAAGGAGCCGGTATTATCACATGACATCACAAGGTGGAACAGAGTGTTTTCTGTTTGAGAGAAGAACAAAACACAACACCAGGTATGTTTTTTAATGAGGAAACAGTGTTGATAAATAGAAAATAGCACAATATTACTAATAATAACTTTAAACTAACTAACTAAAAGTAACTTAAAGGTGCACTGTGTAACTTTTCTGGTCATTGCTAAACAGCTCTATTTTACATTTATTCAATTACAGGTTGTTTTATAGCTCAAAAATACCTAGAAAAACAACATTTTGAATGTTTTTCCACAGATCTGACCTGTAACTTAATCTAGTTTAAGCCAGGCGTGTGGTTTTTGACCCTTTTTGAGCCGATTTTTCACTTGTGCGACTATTTTTAGGATCGGGCCGAGTTTTGGCTGCATCGTGTGTCGTGCTTCGTGTAGTAAACATGGGGTAAAGAGAACTGATTTATACCTCACGACCAGCTCCTGATCGACATTCGTAGGTCGCAAGAATATCAAACCTGTTTGAAATCCAGTCTCCTCTCGTGAGGGTTTCGCTCTGTTGAAGTAGTTCCTCGAGCCGATTTGCCAGAATCTGTCAGACTGAGAAGTAGAAGCAGGATATGACGTTGTGGAGGACGATGGCGCCGGCGAGTGTTTTGGACGCAGGACATGGAAGCGCAGCTAATCGAGCAACACAGAACAGACGTTTGGTGGAAAACTTGATGCTACTGTCAGCTTCTCCTGGAGGCAGCCTGAACAGAGGATGTTAAGAAAGAGGCTTGGAGAGTTAGAACAGGTCTCACATGTCTCTTTATTTGAGTCAGGCAGATTCAGGTCTCAAGATTCAAGTTGATTCAGCATGATTTTGCCTACGCGGCGTCTCTCAGTGCGTCAGTCGTCCTTCGACAACGCGGTCGGCGTTCCCCCACTGATGCACAGAAACACTGGGTGCCTTTTATACCAGCAGAACTGTTGAGTTAACATCTTTATGGAAAAATACACAGCACTTTTGTCCCAACACGTGTCCCATAACAGACTGGCAGATGCTAAAGGTTGGAGACACACCCCTTATCTGTCCCATATACATTCACCATTGACACTCCAAAGTCCAAAAACATACACAGCATGTAACAGGGCAAATCACAGGGCGTATTAACATATGAATGAAACTTTAAAAACACAGGGTAGAAGCCCACACTACTTACCTCCAGTTCCCTCTGAAGAACTGACAACCCGTACTGCCCACGTCTGCCCACGTCTACGCAGACATTTCTTTGACCAGATTCGTCGCCTCTTCTTTTTGGGCTCGTCTGCGCAGAGAACGGCACAAATTGCCAAGGCAGCCCGTCTGTTTTTTGCCTGGATCAGCATTGTGTCTCCGCACGTCTGTGGTTTTCTAATTCCGTGGTTTTCTTCTTTGTGGTTCTCTACTTCCGGAACAACAACTCTCAACTCCGGTCGTTATGTGAACGTACAGCGTGCACAGGCAGGTCGCATCAGAGCATCAGTTCGTACAGTGTGAGAACATGACTCGTGAGCTGTGAACTTTTTAAACCCTGCGATTTGGTCGTACAGTTTAAGCTGGGGCTGAGTGACACGACAGAAAATATCGCACAGTGTTCGCCCGGCATAAGTCTCCATGACGAGAGAAAGGTTTAATGTCAATGTGCTGTGAAACATTCCAGACAAAACACCTCAATGAAGAAAAGCGTATGACAGACCCCCCACAAACAATGCACCTTTAAGTTAATAAAAATGAAAATATATCTAAACACACACATCTAGAACAAATGTAATAAATCCAGTAAACAAAAAGAAAAAAATCAAACACTTTTAACTTTTCACATCACGAAGTTTCCACGACGATACAAGAAAATTGCATCATTTTCCGTAATATGCGGATTTGAAACACAATGTGGCATTATTTTCCTGAACATTCTGTCTCTGAAACGCTTCACACCTTGTTTAAAACGGCCACAACCAATCACATGACGCTTTCTGGAATCTGTGCTGAAGTATTGTTGTCTTTCCGTGATCGTATCTCAGACTAAACAAATGGATTTTATCTCCATTTTCCAGTGGAGCATGTGACACTTTCCACACACTCAGGTCAGACTCCACAGACTCCAGGTGACGGTCATGCATCGTGAGTGGGCCCATTGTTTTCTTCTTACCGCAGGCGTTCCACTGAAGTCAGCCGATCTTTTATGCTTTATTTTGTCACGATGAGACGACACAGCGCGAGAATGTTACAAGACTCAAACCCGCAAAGGTTTTTAAAGGGTCCATATGGCATTATTTTCAGATCTTATGTTGTTTCCTCGTCAAAAACAGACCTGGAGTTCGTGTTTTGGTTGTGATTTTAGTCCTGGTTTAGACCTGGTTTACTCCTGGTTTAGACCTGGTTTTAGTCCTGGTTTAGACCTGGTTTAGACCTGGTTTAGACCTGGTTTAGGCCTGGTTTAGACCTGGTTTAGACCTGGTTTTAGTCCTGGTTTAGTCCTGGTTTAGACCTGGTTTAGACCTGGTTTAGACCTGGTTTTAGTCCTGGTTTAGGCCTGGTTTAGCCCTGGTTTAGACCTGGTTTAGACCTGGTTTAGACCTGGTTTAGACCTGGTTTAGACCTGGTTTTAGTCCTGGTTTTAGACCTGGTTTAGACCTGGTTTAGATCTGTTTTAGTCCTGGTTTATTTATCCTGGTTTAGTCCTGGTTTAGTCCTGGTTTAGACCTGGTTTAGTCCTGGTTTAGTCCTGTTTAGACCTGGTTTAGACCTGGTTTTAGTCCTGGTTTAGTCCTGGTTTAGACCTGGTTTAGTCCTGGTTTAGACCTGGTTTAGTCCTGGTTTTAGTTCTGTTTTTAGTCTGGTTTAGTCCTGGTTTTTGTCCTGATTTTAGTCCTGGTTTACCTGGTTTATTTCTGGTTTAGTCTGGTTTTAGTCCTGGTTTTAGTCCTGGTTTAGTTCTGGTTTAGTTCTGGTTTAGTCCTGGTTTTGTCCTTGTTTAGACCTGGTTTGGTCCTAGTTTTAGTCCTGGTTTAGTTCTGGTTTAGTCCTGGTTTAGACCTGGTTTAGACCTGGTTAATTCCTGGTTTTAGTCCTGTTTTAGTCCTGGTTTAGTTCTGGTTTAGACCTGGTTTAGTCCTGATTTAGACCTGGCTTTAGACCTGGTTTTAGTCCTGGTTCAGACCTGGTTTACTCTAGATTTTAGTCCTGATTTTAGTCTTGGTTTACTCCTGATTTAGTCCTGGTTTAAGTTTGCGGCCAAAAAGGTGACGCTCCAAACTATTTTATATTGGACCTTTAAGTGTCTTGCCCAAGGACACAGCATCAGTTTGACACCAGGTGACAGTCACGAGGTTTGCAGCGTCTCTTGCGTTGTGAGCGTTTCTATTGTCTGCTTCTTACGTACGTGTTCCACTGAAGTTAGCCGATCCTTTATGCTGTTGACTATAATGACATTTCTATTATTCCGAGCGCGTTGCCTCTCGAAAAGTGCCGCTTCAAAGACGGTCGCAACAAAAGAGGAAATGGGCTTCACGCCAGCTCGCTACAAAAAAAGATAAGAAAGAAATCTGTAATTCTCATAATTTGCCAGTTGTATTTTTTTTTTTGGCCTTCTTTTAGCGTTTCTGGGAGTCAATCCTAATGCACTGAACCCACAATTTTCGCGCTTAACCATGGAATGTATTTCAGAAAAGAATCAAAAATAGATACGTTATATTTAAAGGGCCCATCTCATGCAAAGTAACTCTTTTCACATGATATCTTCTGTACATATACAAGCACAATTTGGGTTTTGGAACATCCATTACACAATAGATTTCTTGGAGACAGTCACAGACCAGGGGCTATGAAAGACCGGCCATTGCTCATCCCCCTGCCCGTCCTGAGAAAGCACAGGCTCCGCCCTCCAAACCTGACGTAGGCTCGAGACAAAAAGCATAATTGGGCAAACTTGAGTCTCTAATAATGTTCAATCAAATGAGGTCATCATAATCTGTACAGACAATCACTAAACACCAGTGGTTGTAATGACTGAGGTGTAATCGCCATTTTGTTATCGTGCAGAAGCAGAAGCATGAATATATACCTAAAAAATAGAAATAAGTTCAAATATTTGTGCAGAGAAACGCAAATCTATTACAGAAATCTTTTTTAATTGATGAAC